AAAAATAAAAGTATAAATAGCGGAAAAACGAACACGTAAAATAAGAATGAGCATAAAAATAACAATAAGACTCAAGTGAAAATGCCATTGAAATTGCTTTAATTTAATGCAATGCATCGTTCATGGAATTTCGAAAGCCTTCACTGAATAACTTAACATTTAATTAGTTCTAAAAGCCTATTAAAAAAAAAAAAAAAAAAAAAATTATCATCAGTTCAAGTTGAAATAAAATATAGATTTCAATAGTTTTCACGTTTTCATGGTATATTTTGGTTCGCATTGCTTGCATTCATTTATTATGCACATAACTTGTTGCATTGGCGGTTTAATGAATTTTTGTGAAATAACGCATACGCCTCGTTGCACACAATTGCAATTACGCTAAGAGATTTTGAGGCCATTGGCGTCCATTAATATTGTTCGGCACATTTTCTGTGCTTGAGTAGTTTCAATATAATGCCATTCCAAATTTTTATGCATTTCCGTTGTTCGATTTCACCTAAAATGCAACTCAAAGATGCAACTAGAGCTGCAATGCTCAAGCGATAAATAATTGGAGTGAACTTATCGTAGGCGACGCTCAATAGCAGCTGGGCAGTTGCCAATAAAGAGAAGAGGAGACTTAAGCTCTTTAATAATAAATACATATTTCTATATGAGTTGCCAAATTTGGAGAGCAAAATTTAAGCCCACAACAAAGTGCTCTTTGTCTCCTTTCATTTCCCAACTTTAAACGTTGCCTAGACAAGAGGAACTGTGTAACAAGGCAACTAAACTGGTCTGGAATTTAAAGCCGTTCACAACACTTTGTCAAATATACCTGGAAGTGTCCTTTTGGGGTATCCTTTTTCTGTGCCTGCTCTGCTGCCAGCACTCAAATGTATTAAGGAGAAACTTTTTTAATTGAGCCAAGGAGAGCGCCAAGTGTTGCTCACATTTGACAAATTTAAATACACATAGTTACGTCCAAGTGTTTGTTTGTATGCGTATGTCTATTTTGTCAAGTGCGAACAAAATGTAACATCGAAAACCTGCTCCATCCTGTTGCTGTTTGCTTGTGTGCTGCGAGCTATAAAATAGAGAAAACAAATTTCTTTCTTTGTTGCACGGGGCGAGTGTTGGCATTCGTTAAAATGGGTTTTTTTTTTTTTTTTTTTTTTTTTTTTATATTTTAAGAGCGTGAAAGGGTTTCCAGCAACGCGTGCTTTGACTAAAAGCTTTGAAATAGAGCAAATGTTTCTTTAGTCCCCAGGCATTAAATATCAAATGAAAGGACAACTTCAACTTAAATGTGTTAAGCGTATAAAATGTTCGTATGTATGCATATTGTCAAGTATAATCCGGATTTATTTACCTGTTTGAACTTACCTTAGCGAACCGAAGGTGTAGCGGCAATGTGTGAAGCATATTGCAATTAAAAAGTATTTGGCAAACTTTTTCAGCATACAATACAGTACATATATTACATAGTACTCTTAATAAAAAACTTAAATAACTGCAGTTGCTCGAAGAAGTTGCTACTAGAGAGAAATTTCATAAACCCACAAATCGGATTTTTTCACCATTTTTCTTTTCAATCCGCTCAGGCAAATGGAAAAACTTGGTTTAAGCACAAAGTTAGCCAGAAATATGGACTTGTTATTTTATTTATGTTATATATGTATATAACTCTAGTTTATATAAGCGAAAATCCCCGCTTTTGTGGTGTATCAATCACTCCATATGCTAGCCGTTCAATCGGATCAAATTGTAAATGTATTAAATATTTGTATGAATAAATGTCAACTGGAATTATTCAATAAAAACCTGAAAACTGTACTAAATGCATAAAAGCTTATTTATTTTCATGTATTTTCTTTTTCCTCTTGCTTGCTTTTCACTTTACTCACTCGCTCTCTGTCGATTTCCTTTCAGCGGACGGCAACAAGTGCTGCGAGTCGCCTGCATTGGGCAGGCAATCTTAGCGCGCAGCTGGCGGCTGTGAGTTTTCGTCCAGTTGTTGGCTCTTCCCGCTTGCCATGGTAAGCCGCAATGCGAAAATTGTGAAAACGGAAAATGGCACGAACGCATCTATTATTGTAACAGACGGCAGCAATGCAGCGCAACCTTTGAAGACAACGACAGCAACGACGCCGCTGACGATGATGGCAACAACATTGTCGGCATCGCAGGCTGACCTGGGCGACCAGGAGAACGGGACGACGGGTAAGTGCGAAGTGCTCTTGTTTCACACGCTCACGCCCCGCAGCTAATCCATGACGACGCGCCAAGGCGAGAAGGCCAGCTCACTGCTCACTGATGCAGATAGTGAGGCGAATGCAGAAGCTGCTGCAAATCAAATTAGTTTCGTAAAGGATGTCTTTTCAATCTTGCCGCACTTCGCCAACTAAGCGCTTTGCCAAGTTCTCTAATGCCAACAAGATTCTTTAGGAAATCTGGCAGCAGAGTGCGGAATAAAGTGGCCCAACTATGTCATACCCTGTATAAATTCTGTTGAATCTATTTCATATACATAATGATATATAAATAAAATTTAAATATATTATCTAGTTAATTTTGTTTAGTATAGTAATGTTAGTCCATTTTATTTTAATTTCAAAAATCCTCCATCAAACGCCTCCCTTGCTCTTTGAACCCTATTAGCTGGCTTTTGTGCTTGGCATAGTACTAAATTGAGTTATGGCGTTGGTCGTGGGTTACCGTCCCGACCGCAACACCCACTTTCCACTTGCCACTGCCCGAGGCTGATGTAACCCCGATGTTAGTTAATTTGGGCTTGTCACGATAACATCAGCCCACGCCCAGCTTGTGGCGGATATTTCTTTGACTTCGTCGCAGTTGTTATATTAATTAAATGGCTTTCAGTGTGGCGGAGTCAAAATAATTATTATTCCCTTCAGCCCAGCACATCCTACGCTGTTTAGCTAAGAGCCAACTCGATACTAAACATAATTATGGCTAAGCTTCAAATGTTCACTTTGATTTTATATGTCACATTTCAAGTCTTGCTAGAAAGTCAGTTTGCAATACTTTTAAATTTAGTTGGAATTATTAGTTAGTTGTTCTACCATCTTTATTTTATTAGCTGTGATAAAATTTAAATAAAATTTAATTTGTGTTTAATATATATGAAATTTTACTAGGGTCTTATGAAATCAGCGATGGAAATTGATTCTTAAGAGTAGGAGAACATTTTTGGCAGATTTTTCTTTAAACAATCTTCCAAGAAAAAAAATCCTCATCGTATAAAGTACCTTTCGCAAATACTGAGAATATCAATGAAAAATAATTTAAATACTTAGCATTGCGAGGTTTCATTTAATTACGTCTTGATGTGGTCATGGTCAATATCGTAAAAAACGGATTTTACAATTTATACAATTTTGGAATACCAATGAAAATTGACTGCAAGCATATTTGATAAAATGTCTTTGGGTTGTCAAGTATTGAACTATAAGTAAGGGACACTTAATGATTACTTTCAATGAGTATTTTACATACTACAAAATGTTGGCCTATTCTTTATATATATTTTTACGCTAAAAGAAAAATTTCTCTACCAGCTATAAAAGACGAGCATGAGGCGAAAAATTTAAATTATAAATAATAAATAATATTATTATGAAAATACTACATAAACTAAACAAAACAAAACTTATGTTTATTGTGGAATCCTAAAATATTTATAGAAAGAAGAAATTAGACGAGAAAATCTTTTAGAATATTTATGTACAAATCAAGCATTTCTCTTATTTCATTAATTATAAAATACAAATATATATTTAACATTTAACATAAATATAAAACAGAAGAAACTATTAATTAGAGTAAAATATCTATGCATTCGGTTAAAGTGAAGAATATCTCTCGTAGTAATCTCAACCAATTTTTTTGTCTCACTCTCGGTGCTTAAATTGTTGACTCAATTTTCATTTTAATTCCATTAGCATGAAGAAGGGAATTTTAAGATGTGCCAAATGGGCGACATATGAGAATACACACACATACATACACATGTGCATGTGATGCTAATGAGGCTATTATATAAATTGCTTAAATTGCTTATAAAGCAAAATATGATGCCAAAAGAAGATGTTGCGCATACGCCGCGTATACGCTGTCGATTCAAGGGGATAGTAGCAGTAAAACAAAGACATGTGTGTATGTGTGTGACAGAGTGAGGCATTTAAATGAAGCATATAATTTTGGGAAAAGAAACACAATAAATTTGACTGTGAATGTGAAGCCTGTGCAAAATTTATTGTAGAGAGAGAGAGAGAGAAAGAGAAAGAGAGAGAGCGAAAGAGAGAGAGGGGGAGCGAAAGAGAGAAAGAGAGAGAGAGAGAGAGAAAGAGAGAGAGAGGGGAGCGAAAGAGAGAAAGAGAGAGAGCGAAAGAGAGCAGTTTGAATATTTTCAGTTGCCTGTCAAACGGCTTTAACCATCTCGTTCATCTTATATTTGTTATATCCAATAGCTAAAGTTGGAACTGATGTTGTATTTATACTAAAAATACTACAAATGAAAAACCTGTTGACAGTCTGCGCCAAATTATTGACTGAAGCGTAAGGATTGGGTATAAGATTTATGAATGAACAAGCGGCCGTGCGTCCGGGTGGCGGCGGGGGCCTTGTTTATTGATTGGAATTTTGTGTGCTTTAAATAGGCGTCAAAGTGAAAACCAAAATTATCTGCTTCTTTTATTTTTGTCAAAGTTGTTGACGCTTGTGACACCTTGTTGACTGTTTCATTAAAACCGACGAAACTTCGGGAAGGCAACAAGTTTCAACAAATTAATTTAAAGCAATGATGAGTGAACGGGATTGATACCCGAAAGTTAATTGAGCTCTTTGTGAGTTTCAATCAATAAGCTAAAAATTTAAAAGCTGGTATTTCACTTTAAAGAGACAAGAAAAAACGCCTCGAGGTAATTCAATTCAGTTAAACTTTTCGTTTAAAAATAGTACAAAGCAAAAATTGTTTAGTTCGTTATTTCTAATAGTTTCTCAATAAATAATTTTTGTTAGTATATTAATTTTAAACTGTTACTTGACATTTTTAGAAAGAATAAAACTTACAAAATTACTGAAAATTTACCTAAAATGGGATCGAGCCTTAAAAGGAACTTGATCGCTTTCAATTTAAACTAAGTAATGCTTAAATGATTTGTAGGTTAGTTTATAACTGAAAGACGGATGTCTCGTTTGCGTACCTGATTATGGTGGGATATTATGATGTAAATGAAATAACTAGTCGTTGCTGAAAATATATTTAATGGCATTTGCAAATGATATTTGAAATTGAAAATGAATACCACTTACCGAATCTTACTACTAGAAAAATCCAAAACAAATGAACGTACGATCCAGTTTCATTGACAATCATGTTTGTGCCCATTCCGAGAGTTATGAGAAACAATAATGTGTAATAGATCATGTGGGGACCAGCTGTAAACACATAAATTAGGATACATACTTTTTTGACCTAAAACAAGAAATGAAATTTGTATTGCTACATTTATTATATTCTTAATTTGCACTTACGGTCAGTTCGTGAACGTATAGGAAAACCGGTGATATTCCCACTATAACTTCTGGAACAAGATGAAGTGCGAAATATAGCAAATCAGCTTTCGTTAAAATTAGAGGAGAGTATATAGAAGAGTTCTGATGGTATTATATGGCTTTAACATTACCTCTACTTCCCTGCTCGTGAGGATCTGTAAATGGAGAAACTTCTTTTAGAAATGGGCAACTAGAATTTTCAATTTAAGGTTATACGAAGCCATATTACACTTGTTTATATGAATCAGCCAAATAACAATTCCGCTTATAAAGCAATAAATAAATGTCATGGCTGCAGCAAAAAGCCACCCAACATGCAATGAAAAGCAGCCGCAAAAGCGCTTGGCGTTAAATATCTTTTCATTGTGAATGCAAATCATAGTTTAAATAAAAAATTAATAAATTAAATAAAAACTGCTGGAACTTGAAAGTAAACGCTTGGGTAGTAGGAGCACGTCTGTATTCAAATATGGGACAGTTCAAAATAAACCATATAGAAATAAATCTGAGCCATAAACGGGAGTCCAGCACGCGGAGTAGCCAAAAGGAGTTGAACCAATGCATGGATTAGCATTTTGTATGCAAGTACTTAACCGGTTGCTAATAATTTGTTAAAGGTCTTACTAAAACTAGGAAGGATTTTTTATTTACTTATCACCAAGCCTAGCACGATTTGCTTTTATTAAATTTTGTTACATGTAATTCTAGGATCATCTTTGTACATTTCTCTTCCTCTCTCTTTACATTTCTTTCCTTCTTTGCTTACAGTACGATATTACGATATAAATAGAATAGATTGTTATTCCTGAAATGATGTATGAAAGCGTTTACCATTAATACTTGGAATGACAAAGCAACTTACCCGTTCGAAAAACGCAAAGCAGCCAATACAGATGAATCAATAGTCCAGCATAGTTAACAATAATATTTGTGCGAATCAAAACTGTTACAATGGTTATTATGATAAAATAGATGATATGGACACCATTGACGCATACAAATGTTATGACAAAAGCCGTCCTGGGCTACAATTAGATTGCAAAATGAGTTTATCAATTTATTCCTCGGGTGTTTACCCAAAACTTACACACATTTCGTAAAGGATTAGCAGGAGTGAGGATAGAACAATTAAAAGTTCGGGCACCAAATGAAGTAACATAGAAGTATGATCCTCTTTCATTGAGTAAAGTGAGTAGAGAGTTCAGATTAGGAAGATATTGTGAATTAATATTACCTGTACTTCCTTTCGTATGGCCTGGATCTGAAAGTAGTTGTAATTTTGATTAGAAACAGATAGATAGAACACGTGGATGCAACTGTCAAATTACACTTCATGTTATAATAAACTAAAATGAATTTGGAGATTATAACGCTAAAAAGGATTGTAAGCACCACAATCGCAAAACATCCCATTCGCAATGAGAAGCAACAACAAAACCGCTTGGCATCAAACATCCTATAGAGAAAAGTGTGAATTAATAGAATTTAATTTGAAAGTAGATGCTTAGGTAGGTATACGCCATATTTAAACCTTATATAAAATATTGAAATTAATGTGGTTAGTGCATGAATATCATATAAAAGTGGTAGCTGCAAGCCCTTTAAATGCGTCTTTGCAATTTAAGTAAAGTTCTGTAAGAGTTAAAGACCTTGAATCGACTGTCAAAAAATGCGAGTTGAGTTCTCTGTGCTGTGCTGTGGGAAGAGTTTGCTCACGCATCCGCCAGCTTACAATTCGCTGCGCCAGCTTCATCAAAGTTCTAGCAACCTTTTATCCAGAACTTCTGTACATTTTGCTGGCTTCATTGTTGCTTTTCTTATTGCTGAATGTAAAGGCATCTGGTCTAAGGGCTTGCTGGCTTAACAAATGTAGTACGCATTTAATTGGTATCTGGGAAATGAAAGCCAGCCAGCTGCAGACAAATTCGAGGTTTTATTTGATTAGCTTAGAATTTAGAATTATGAAAAATTGAAAAACAATAATTTTGATAGATGCTTGACTTCGCTCAATAATACAAGGCATTTTATATCACATCATCCCCATAATATGCATCATTTTGTTTATAGAAGGAGATGACGACATATAAAAAATATACTGTAGTTCCTGGAAAAACTCTCGCAATCACTTATCAATTCTATTTGAAATGTGAAAATTTCACTCACCGAATCGGAATAGACAAAAAGGCCAAAAGATGTGAACGTTATCGCCGGCCCTGTTTATAATCATATTTATACCGATCGCTGTAGTTATAAGGAACATCAATATGAAGTAGACGATATGGGGACCAACGAGGCCGACATATATGAAGACTAAAAACTTCTTGCGCTTAAATAGTACAAACTAAATCTTAGTTGATCTGAAATGTGAATTGTAATCGCAGTTAGTTCATTGCCTTGCTACTTACAAACAAGCCATAAAGGACTAAGGAGCAGGATGCCAAAAATAAGATGACTTCAGGAACCACAAAACATATGAATGAATTGTAATCGCCTATTTTTGAAAAACTATGTGTATTTAGCAAATTTAAAATAGTCGTTAGTAATATGATTTTCACCTCTAGTTCCTTTTCTATCGCCACTATCTGAAAGTAAAGCAAAAAGTCGTATTAAAGCGATCAACGTTTATGATATTATATTGGAAGCCACATTACATTGATCGGTGTGAAATATCAAAACAAATTGAATACTCAAGACACTATAGACGAACGTAATAAATGCAATCAAATAGCATCCTATGAGTAATGACCAGCAGCCGCAGCAACGAGTGGCATTAAACATCCTGTGCTATTATAATGTCGGCTTGTCATTTCTGGACAAAATATTTCAATTTGAAAGTAAATGCTTGGGCCAGTATAAAATTGAAAGTAGCTGGAAATGAATAATAGGCTGGCTCTCTATACAAACATATTATATTATTTTCTGCGAATATCGAGCACATTCCATCAGAGAGAGTACCAACGTGTCTATAACTAATTCCTTTGCCATCCGTCCTGTGGAGCGTAATTCAATTGTTGACTTGATTTTCATTTTAATTCCATTAGCATAATGATGGGAACTCAAAGATGAAAATGAGGAACACAGAGAGCCAGGCACACACACACGCACACCTAATGCTAATGAGGCTATTATATAAATAGCTTAAATTGCAAATAATGCAAAAGTCAAACTCGATGAAGATGTTGCGCATACGCCCCGTATACGCGTACAAGACATTAGCATCAATTTCCTTAAATTGTGTATCAATGCTGAGTGCTGCGTTTGTGAGAGTATCAGGTGTACAAAGTGTGCAACGGATATGCAGAGAAGCCCACATAGAAAATATATATAAATTATACTGATAAAAAAATACATATTTTAGTATAAAATTTAGAAAATAGATAGGGAATACTTGATGAAAACTTCACATTTCTGAATTGAATCTCGTCTTCCAGTCGAAATCATTCGATAATATAAAAGACCGATATATACCATGTATATAGACATTGCTGGAATAATATTAAAAACTATTGCCAATTACACTTATCGAGTCTAAGCATTACATATACCGAAATGATATGGAGCATATATCCAATACAGAATTAATTTTACTTTTGCTGGCTTTCACATACGGATTGATGCGTATCGTAGCTGTAACTATGGTATATTACGTGAAATAAAATTTTTGTACGACAGCTAGAAAAAATAACACCATTTTTTGCACTAACAGTAAACTTTTAAATCAATTATTAAAACCAGATTTATAGTTAGCTGATTTTTTTATACCATTACATAAAATCAACCAAGCTTTGAAGTCACAGAAGCACATAGAACAAAGTTTATATACAATGCAGCCTATACGTATTTTTATGCAGAAGCTACACAATCTAGAATGGCACATTCTAGAGCCTAGAGAGCTTAAGAAAACAAAATGAATTTTTATTTGAAAGTAAAAGTAACACTAACTTTCTGGAAAAATAAAAATCTAATATTAACAGGTATTTCGCTGTCTCGCACATGCAACGTAAATAGAGAACAAAAGATCTGTAAATAAAAACTTAATTTCCGGCTATGAAGACAACTGCTGCAGTAAGCTAATGGACTCTTGACAGGGTATTGGCCATATATCCTTCAACCGTCAACGAACGGGGTTGTAGCAGCAGCAGCAGCAGCAGCTGTTAGCTTATCTATGATTATTGGATGGTATTGATTCTACAGCTCGCACTCTATACACAGCTCACACCTAACGTATTTATGGCATCTTAATTGAATTTCAATTTTCAATTTCGCCTTTTAATTGAATTCAATGAAAAAGTGTCGATGAAACGGTATTCAGCGCTTTGTGTGCAGCTCCCCACCCACATTGCCGCAAGCCCCGCCCTCTTCGTTTATACACAGCTTTGTTGATGCCTCTCTGCTGTTGTTGCTGTTATTGCTGTTGCTGTTTATTCAGCTGCTGCTGTTGCTTCTGGGAGCGTCATCAGGGAGCCTCGTCTGCCAGCTCGCAGTTGATGGCGCCAACAACGTGACAAAACACAGCCCCCGTTCCCGCACCATTTCAAAGCACCCTTCTGCCCCATCAACACAACTTGATAGCCCACTTCCCAGCCTCGTTTACAGCCCCAGTCTCAGTCCCAGCCCAAGACCAAGCCCACAACCATTTCAGCTGACGAATCCATTCGGCCTTCAATTGGCTTGGTTTGATTGCGCCAACACATATTTTTCCACAGGGTTTGCCTTGTGATTGACTAAAAACTTGTAAATTGATTGGGCAGTAAATGTGGGCTAACCGAGATAAACAAACCATTTGGCCAGTGCAATGCGTCTGAAATTGAACTCTATGGAATAATTGTCAGGGCCATTAAGCCTTGGGTATCACATGGTGAATTAATAACTGAAATGTATACTTAGAGAAGAGTACAATATTATTTTTTTTTTTTCACAATATTTGAATAGCGCAGAGCTTGCATTTAATTCGTGACATATAGTCACGAATCTGTGATTCTGCATGTACATACATCTGTATATACATATGTGTGTGTGTGTGACTGGCTCATTATGCCGTACCGTGCGCCAGCGGCAGTCTTTCTAGCCGATGTTTGCCACCCTGGCACCCTCGTTTGCATCCATAATGCACGGCCGTGTACTTCTGGCTCGGCACATGTGAGATTTATGCCACTCAGCCAGCAGTGGAAATATCAGACAATGCGAACGGATTTGTATGCCGGGGTTAACGCTGTATCATCACACAACCGCACATCTATAAACATGAACGGGTATTAGGCGCCATTGCCGTAAGATAAAACGAGAGCGCACAGAGCAAGAGACAAAATACGAGATATATATGCAAATTGCTGTCACAGTGGAAATGCCTAAGCCATTGTTGGGATTTCTTCTCCATCCATCTCTTTTCTTTTTTATATTACTAATATATGCATATTACTTACAATTGATGATGCTATGATTCGCTCGCACTTAAATGCGTACAAGGCGTGCGCCTTTTGATCGTGTCTCTGCTCTGCTCTGCTTTGCTCTGGACAGCTTACAAAAGTATTGTCATAAAATACATAAATCGCATTTGTATGGCAAATCGTTTGCTGGTTGGCTCGGTCGCTTGTGGCAAATTCAATTTGCATGACACTGATTTTGTTCGTCTTCTTGGTGTGCTTCTATAAAATTTACATTTGCGACAAATTGAGCATCGTTTGGCCCGTGGGCCAAGCTCAGTTTCTCTATTGATTTCAATGGAAAGTAAATAAACTGCATCACTTTGCTCTCCCTGTCTCTCTCTCTCTCTCTCTCAACTTTTTGATGGCCACTTTGCATGTTGTGAGAGCTTTAAGCCCGAAAGTGTCTGCCTGCAGGTAGTGACTAATAAAAAGCAATACTAAGTAAGAGGCAAGGGTATTTAAATAAATGGACCTTGAACGTAATGGCACGAGTGCAAGTCGAGTGTGCAGCACGTATATAAATAATATATAGCTTAAAACCTATCTAGTTTCAGCTTGACGTTGATGAGATTTAAGACCACATTCCTCTTCTGTAATGCATACATGTGAATATAAAAATAAATTTGTGAAAATCGAAAAAAAGTAACCGAAAGAAACCCATTTAAAAAGGAAATAATATTCTATAAAGGCATTTTTATATGTTCACATCAAAATAATAAAAAAAACACAATAATAGAGCTATAAAGCTTCAGCAAGGGCTTTGCGAAAAGCAATAGGAAATTCAGTCACAAATGTCAATTTGACTGACTCACTGTGAATAGAAAGGTATCAAACATGAAATGACAAACCGAAACGAAATTGGGAAAAAGTGCGTGGCATTCGCATTTCGACGGCTCTTGGCTCTTGGCTCCTGGCTTTTGTCTTAGATGGCCATTATTTAGCAGCACACGTAGGGCAACAGAATGGCAGAAGGCCCATTGACTGGTCCTGAAAAGCATTGCAATATAGTCGCACATTGTGCAAGAGAAACAAGCGAAATACGTGCGCTCTGTGTCGGCATTTGAGCGCTGTCTATATTGCACAGTGGTGCGGCATAGCAAAAAAAAAATTAATATAAATAATTCGAATTAAATAAATATATACAGTGACTTTCAAAACTCTAAAATTTATACACTCAAGAATTGCTTTATTGATAAACTCGTAGCGTAAGTGAAATAATTTTTAAAATACATTTTAAACCACTGTGCTTCGTTGACCAATTTGTCTGTTTGGCTTTGACACTGGCTGTGACAAAAGTGTTCAACTTCACCTTGATTAATGCGATGGCATGACATTTTCTTTTACAATTGCTCCCGCTCCCTTTCGGGGGAAATTTGTTTTAGCCTGGCACGTTTGTGTCGCCAATTTGTGAGAGAAGTCCAGGCGACTCCAGCTAGCAGCTTACAGCCAGCACTCGCATTATTCATTCCATTTGGGCCAAGCTGTTGATTACTTCAGCACAGCTGCTGGCCAAAGCCGTTGATTTATTTTGTGGCCAACAGTTGAATCTAGGGCGAGTGAGTCTGCTCTCAATTGAATCTGTGCAAATTTTAGAATTGTGGTAAGATCAGGGCGTGACCCGCATAAACACATAGAGCTAATTGAAAAGGCAAGCATGATATATTTGCTAAAGAGCCCGCCCGGTAGTGAAACCCATTTTGCAGTCGAATGAATTCAATTTGATTAAGTGTTGCAAATCGATTGGAGTCGGTAATCGAGCTGAGTGTTTGTCATACAAATCGTTGGCGATTAGACTGTGCAGCTAAACCGAGCAGCTGCTGCTATTGACATGCGGCACATGCAGCACACGGTGCCACGTAAAGCTTGCTACTTGCCACAGCTTCAGGACATGTAATTTACAATCTTGCAGCAGGTGGTGTTCCGGTGCACAATGTGGCAGACTTGCGGTCGCCCTTGAGAATTTCGCTTGTATTTTGTTGCATTTTATGTTTGCCGCGCCACATGGCGTATGCGCAACGTTGGTGGGTAGAAGAAAAAACGTTGCATACCTTAGGGTGCACATCGAAACAAACTTGGATGAATTTAATATAATTGCAGTATAGAACAGTTCAGTATACGATAAAACAGGCCACACCAACAGCTTGAGTGATAATAAAATCAGTTACTACATCGTGAGCTATATGAATATTCGGAAAACTTGGCGTGTGGTAATCAAGCGTTGGCATACGGGGCACTTGCAGGTGGCGCGTAATGCGGTCTTAATGCAACCACTGCAGAATACATGGCCGCACACGGTGGAGGCGGGCTTCCGTTGGCGAACACATTTCAGACACACCGGACACTTGTATGGATCCGCCTGCGGCACCATTGCCACATTCGAGTCCGCTCCTTTCGCATCCAACTGATCCGGAACTGGGCATAAGGATGGGCTCGACATGAGTTCAAATGGTAGCAATGCAGGCAGCTCATCACCCACCGCATCCACTTGCGCCCCACTAAGCATTGCCTCTGGCGGCAGGCCGTAAGAGACCTCCGCCAGAGTGCTTGCTTGGCGACGCTGTTGAACTGGCCCCGTGGCAATTGGGACTGCCCGAGCAGCACCAGCTAAACGAAAGTCCATGCATGGCGCAGCACCACGAATCGGTGGTGGCGAGCGCACAGCGGCTGTTAATGCCGAGCCAGTTAAATTGAATTCACGGCCGCTGTGATGATCCGATATATCCGGAAGCTTAGCTGATTATGAAGAAAGAGGGAGAAATTAATTAAACTAAACTGCTAAGAATTTGTTTTGTAATGAATCCAAAGATCTATAATCTCTTTGGAAGAACAAGTCCAATTTTTATTCAATCCAATCCCTGCTAACATATTCTAGTGGCGCTCAATTCTTTGATAAATCTCAAAAAACAGTAATATTACTTTTCATAAATTTTACTCACTGTTTTCTGTACGCAATCGAGCGTGTCGCATGTTCTCACATTCAAATTGTACTTAAATGGAAACAAATTAATTACAATACTCTTTATTAAATCAAATTCTTACTGCGCGATAGCTGTGCATCAATTCGCCTGTAGTCGATCAGACTGGAAGTCCTGTTCTTGTCTGCTTCATTTCTGTGTCTAGAGTTCACTCCAAGGTTATTGCCATTGTAGCTCTTGTATAACAGGTTATAGAAATGATCGTCTATCCAACACTTCTCAGCAGCTAAGCTGTCCGAGTTGACCTGCAAGAGGAACCCATAGAGGATTATTAATTCGCTAAGATGTGCCAAGTGGATGGTGGCTTACGCGGGATCGGCGTGTTGGTTGCGACATTAGATTATTTCCGTTAAATCTAAACATGATGTTTACCAGAATTTATGAGAGCGCTATATATGTATTATAACTTGCACGTATTCTAGTCTAACCGAAGTGAGTAAATTGCTTTTTGACATTATTAGCATAGCTCGCTCGATTGCAACAATGTGTAAAGAGGAAGAATTTTCATTTGAAATCAGTTTGATCTAAGCACTATAAGAAGATTGCTAGCTTAACCCTTCACACTGTCAATCCGTATGCAGCGCATGGGGATTTACTCGACAGTTTTTGGGGAGGGGAAAGAACGGGCTGAGGGCGGGGCACTGAACGACTTGACATATGTGTCTGCACGTATTTAATCACATGGAACCCAGTGAAAAGCCATTGCGGCTTTCATTCACGATGCTGTCGCATAACATCTATGCCAAAAAGCTTCACAGTCAACATCGTGCTGTATCCTGTCAAAGTCTTCAACTGTTTCGCTTTATATGCTTTACTTTTTATGACCTACAGCACAAGAATGCCGTAGACATATGAGGGCATATGTCATCCTTTCACACACATAGATACACACCCACACCCCCACACACCCACACACCCATACACATATGAGCGAGTGATACAGTGTGTGAAAGAGTGTGAGTTTAGCCAACGCTTTCAAAAGAATTTCTGTTTGATTGCTGAGAATAAACAACTGAAGGCAGCCGCAGTGCTCGGCATCGTCTAGTTGCGAGGGCCGCTCCTTGAGTAATGCGCACACTTATTTATACGAATAAATGAGAGTGACAAACTTCTTTTGTCGAAAACAAGCTGTATTAAGCGGAAAGTATGTGTACATGCTTTTGTTGATATATTTATATTTAGATATGTGGCTTAGACTTGTGTGCACACAACAAATATGTCATCAATATACATATATTATTCCGCTTGTATGGCATCTTAGTGGTCGATCCACCCACGTCGATAAGTGACTGTGATGATTTGCGCTCCATTTTGCCTGCAGCATGTGCTGAATTTTACGCACATTCCGCTCTGGAGTGAGATTCTTATCCTTAATGTACGTCTCAAGCTTGCGGTTAACTGCGTTTCCTTTTTATGTCCTGCTAGAGTTAAAGTATATATATATATATCTGTTTTCTGTTTTTTTTTTTCTTTTCGTATATCATTACATTAATAAAAATGTATTTAAAATAATTTTTGTTGTGTTCTTTATTGAGTTGAAAGCAGACAAAAACTTTAGCTTTGGGTGCTCCAGGCGGACTAAGCAGCTTGAAATATACTTATAACAATTGTAAGTCCTTGTTGGAAAGTAATCAGTACAATTGGCTGATTCGATAAGGAATCCTTGTATCCTTGTATCCTTGTGCGCTGGCCGAATATCTGCGCTTCGATTGATTTTCTTATGTTAAAGAAGTCTAGGAGAAAATTTAATTTTCCTTTCAATGGATTATTTTTCTGGTTTTCCGACAAGTAATTTGGGAAATTCGGTTCCCATTCAGTTAATTAATCAAGCTGGCTGTCAACAACAGAGGCCAGCAACCAGACGCACTTGACCCTCCAAGTGTATTTCGGCCATTCACAAAACTTTCCCAATATATGTATATGTTATGTTTATAAACGAGCTCGTATTGATTTGTCTGTTGGTTTACATGGGCTTCAAAACATGTACATATATATTTTTATTTAGATGTATATGTGGTGGAACAAAAATCAATGTTGACCTCGTCCGCGTAGTCGAAAATTCAAGCAATATAAACAATAAACACCTGGCGCAGGTATGGCCGCCTAAAAATAAACAACTCACACACTTTGACGCCAACACTGTCCAACAATGTTTGCGCCATAAATAAATCAAAGCATTTAAAGGCAATTAGCAGGCCACATGCTTACTCTACATATCGATTAACATAGACGAAACAAAATACAAGAACTACAATGTGTTAGATTTGACGTGTTTTGGCTATTGAAAGTGTATTTTGGCCACGTTGTAATTTGTTTTGACAGCAGTGACGTGCGTAAGATATATGATATCTACTTAGTAGATAATTTGAAAATGGACTTAACATCACCCTAATAGCATTTTTATACACTGAGCCCATTGTAAATGGGAAATCAGTACAAAGTGGTTTTATTGTATGTATAAAGCAGGCGGAAGGGGAAGAGGATAACTCCATAAATTATATTAGTATATATTTGATTCAGTCTGTCCGTCTGTTCAGTATGTATATGCGCTTTGATGTCAGAGTATGCAAGCAGAGGTCCTAGAAGTCCTATGAAGATGTCCTAGTCCTTAAGAGAGATGTAGAGCAGAAGAAACTGCTGCCTATGCCATCTAATATTTATGAATATTAATGTACATAAGCTGTTCAGCATCTGTTTGTACAATATATGTGTCTCTCTCTCTCTATCACCCTGCCCATCTCTCTATGTCTATCTGCCGAACGGCACAAAGGTACGACGAACAATTACAGAAGATCACTCAAGCTCTCTACATGTATGCAGCAGCATTCGTTCGGTATTTATATTTGAGTAAAGCGAAGTAAAACGAATGCTTGCAGCAGAAGAGAGTGTTCCCATTGGTCACTTAAAGCTCGACTGCAACGATCTCTACCTGTCGTTCGGCTCAAAATTTGAGCGCGACTTCGGCTTCGAGTGAAAGGCGCCCTATATAAAGGGCAGCAGCTGCAGCATTTCTTCAGTCGCCCAGGCCTGGTGGGGGCTAGTAGGTCAGAAGTGAAGTGTGTGATCGTTCAACTAGGCATTAAATACTTGGAGAAAATACTTAATGAGATTTGAGAGGAAATATTTGGAGAAAATACTTAGTTCAAGTACTTAGTTCTCAGTTTTCATAAAAGTCATAAATATAGATTTCAAAGCAATTGACCATTCAACTAATATTATTTGATTTCCAACCCAAGCAGGATATATATATGTTTTTGGTATTCATTCAGTATAGCATTTCTTTACATAGTATATGCCAATCAATATCCAATTATCTGCTGATTATTATCGATTTATTCCTTGCACTTAACCTTGATATTGGAAAAATGTCTATTGTACTTTATATGTATATAGGTTATTTGTATAATTAATAGCTGTGGCACTCGTGTCAAATACATGTTACTTTCGTAATTTTTTTTAATGTCACAATCGAATGGCTTGGCTGCTTTTAGCTGTGCCGTACTTGGAGTCGCACTTAAAGCGAATTACCCATTTAACACGCAACACTAATGGCTCAAGCCCTTCAATTTTCTGTATTTTGCAGCTGAGGACATCCACCTGAACGATTTATATACACGCTACCGGCAGAGGCTGCGCAAGTCGCTCTTCAGATCGGGCCTGTTCACGTCGCTGGTAGCATGTGTTGTGTCCATAGCGATTGGCGTCTATTACGAGCAGGTGAGAGCATTAGCCATGGCACTAACACTTAGTCGGGTAAAATAACAACTGTGTATTATGGTGTATAGCACCTGCTGCAGACACTGCTGCTGGCATTGGCAGCCGTAATCTCCGGCTCAATACTGACGGCCCTGCAGTTTCCGGCGGTGCTTAGCTCCCCAGCGGCCGCATTGGCCTTTGCCATTGTCACCACCTTCTCGCTGGGCACCATTGCGGCCATCACGGGCGGTGAGCTGGCCCCACTGCCCATGTACGCCCTGTTTCTGGTAAGTGGTCGGTGTGGCAAGCCCACATTGTGGACTGCATACGTATTTAATACGCCGCTTATGAATTGCATCGCTTTGCATTGCAGGGCATCCACACGATGCTGCCCATTTCCTGGCCGGTCTCTGTGGTGTTAGCCTTATTTATGACAGCCATACACATCGTTTATAGAATCGGCACCAGCCCGGACTACGCGTGCAATTTGCCCATGGTAAGTTTTTTTATTTGCATTGCCCCATCGCTGTGGCAACAGTTTTCCCATAAACTGGGATTACGCTTTTGCCGTAAAAGTTGAGCGCGAATGGACGGAAAAATATTGGGTTTATTATAGTTTACAAAGTTCATAGAGTGCTAAGCTTGTAAGGTTTTATGCAATTTTTCATATTCGTATTTAATGCAGGCTCAAATTGGAAATTTTTAATGTAAACCAATTTAAGGTGGGCTGAGAGAGCACTAGGATAAAACAAACCCATTATACCCTGATTTCCCATTTTCAATGGGTTCAGGGTAAAAATAAAAAAAATAAAAATAAAAAAAATAGCACAATCCAATTCAAATGCTCTGATTAATATTTATTAAAAATTATTAAAATTAATAATTATTAAAATATAAATAATATATACAAGCTTTACTTAGCTTCAATAAAATTGTATAGAACACTATATTCGTCTATAAAAATATTAAATGATAAATTAGTAGATATAGAGAGATGCTCACTCTATTTTCACTATATACTACATTACGATTAATTAATTATAATTATAATTAAAATTATAATCATGCTATATTACGTACAATTAAATTTTCCGAGTCTCTGTTTTTCTTTGGTCTCTATAAATAATATATTAAATATATTTTTGAATTAAATATTGATATCTGCAGCAAAAGTAATATCTGATAATTATATTTACATAAACTTTACTCATTATCAGTGTCCACTTTTAATTATTATTTGCTTAATTAAAATTTGCCAATTTGTATTCGAAATCATTGCAAATGGCGGACAAAATAGAAATTGAACAACTTTTAAAGTTGTCGCTTTAATTACTTGTTTAGTTTTTCTCGTGGCTCGTTTTCCGCAGCACAATTTTTCATGCTGTGGCAGTTCAGCCAGTCACCCCATTACCCCCCTCTCCATTCTTCGTTCAGTGACTCGCTCACTCACTTATTCCATGCCCATCGCAGGGCATTGTGGCAGAGTTAATTAGCTGGGACACAATTGTATGTTGGGAATTCCGATTAGGGGTCTGTGGTGGAGCATTGTTGGTCCTGCTTCTCGTCCTGCCAATAGACTCTATTATTCAACAGTTCTTGGCGTGACCCCGTTTAACTCTCATTGCTCACTCGTTTCTCTCTCGTCCGGGCCCTCGTAGCTCTTTGGCGAGATTGTTATGCTGGCTAGCGCATCCGTTTCCGGTCTTTATTATCGCATCATGTCGGATGCCGCCCACAATCGCACCGTGGATGGAACACGCACTGGC